TATAAGTTATAAAACATGCATGAACATCAAAGAGTTTGTTGATAGATACAGTATAACTTGAAATGTTTCATGTCTCACATGTAATCGCGGTCAATAAAACAGCTTCTGAACATTATGTCACTTCATGTTACATTTACCTCAGGAAGACTATCCGATGTTCACAGTTCATTAGTTATCGATAAATAAACACTAGAGAGGAGCTTATTTAGGTTAATATGTTTGAATAAATTGGTGTTTATGAAAACTAGCTTATGTGTATCTGAAATATAATAGCAGGTGAATATAAAAGTATGGGCTCTGTTGTTAATCTTATCCTCTCTAATATTATATTACATTTACCAGACGCAAAGCGACTTACAAATGAGGAGAGCAATGGAAGCAGTTAAACTAACAATAGGACAAAAATATTGACTATTATTAAGAGAAGAGAAATAGTATTAATGAATCAAGTGTTGCCGAAAAAGATGAATGTACCAAATGAGAGGGTTTGGTTTCCAGCATTAGTTTGGAGAGTTTTTTTTTTACTCAAAAACTATCAAAAAAAGAAAGAAAATCGGTATCGGCATCGGCATCAACTTGTCTTTCAGAATCGTCCGATTTCTCTCGTACCTTCAGAGGTATTTTGTTGTGTTCTGTGCGTTTGCGCTGGGCGGCCTTCACCACGCCGAACAGGACATCAGTGTGAACGGTGCGCTCGTGAGCCTCGTCCAGGATCACCACGGTGTAGCGCAGCAACAGCGGATCCCCGATCGCCTCTCGCAACAACATCCCGTCCGTCATGAACTTCAGCTTGGTCTCCGACGACGTGACGTCTTCAAAGCGCACCGTGTAGCCGACCTGAGGAAGAGGAGACGCAAAGCTTTACATTAATAAACAACATCAAATAAAGCAGATAGAGTTTTTAATCAGATCAAGTGTTGATTCAGTTCGGTTCAATAACTGAAGTTCATCGATTCTGAAACAAGTTCACTTCAGCTCTACAGAAGATACACTGGAAATCTGGTTTGGACAGTACAATTGCATTTATTGTAATATATTGTAAAAATGTAATTTATTCCTGTGATCAAAGCTGAATTTTCAGCATCATTACTCTTCAGTGTCACATGATCTGTCAGAAATCACTCTAATATGATGATCTGATGCTCAGGTAACATAAATGTTCATATCTTTTAGAGCCAGACCGATTTATTGGCAGGCTGATATTATCGGGTGATATATTAGGCATCTTCCAAAATATCGGTAGTTATAATGTCTGATAAATGAATATTTCAAAAATAAAAAAAAAACGGACGAAACACGCTTCAACCATGTCACGAGTGTTGGAGTTGTATAGATTGTCCACCAGAGGGCGCTCTACACCGTCCCTGTTGGTAACACTCGTGTATAACGCGCCACACATCCTGCCACCGGCTGATCCAGGATGCAGGAAGCTTATAAGGCAATGTAGGGACTAATTATTATTTTATTTATCAGAACATTAATGTATTTTGATGTTCCTCTGTTCTGTTGTGACAATAAATGTTCCTTTGTTCCCAGATCAGTGCAACTTTTAAATTCTCAACCATTTTTAGCCCCTTGTTGATTATCTGTCTTGATTTAGTTATTTTTTAATATATTAGGTATTCATTAATATGTATTTATTTATACTGTGTTATTTATTTAACGTAGGTTGTTACAATGCATAATGTTTCGTTACTATATGTGGCCTCACAAATTGCCCCTTGGGGACAAATAAAGTTTTGAATTGAATTGAATTGAATAAATGAAACAAGTTTCTTTTTAAAATGCATTCTCATATTATTTTAGTTAAAACTTATAAATAACTACAAATAACTAATGTTAGGGAAATCTGGATCTGGGAAGGAAATTTTTTTTTTTTTTTTTAAATCACCAAAAAAAAAAAAAAAAAAAAAAAAAAAAAAAAAAAAAAAAAAATCGGCCGATATATCGGAATATCGGATTTTAAAACCAACGAATATTTGTATCGGCCTTCAAAATCCTATATCGGTCGGGCTTTAATATCTTTGCGGAAACTGCGATACATTTTGTCCAGGATTATTTGATGAATAGACAGTTCAAAAGAACAGCATTTATTTGAATATAAACATTATAAATGTCTTTACTGTCACTTTAAATGATTTAATGCATCATTTTTGAATTTCTACTTCTTTAAATAAACTAAATGTTTCTTGAGCATCAGGTCATCATATTAGAGTGATTTCTGAAGGATCATGTGACACTAAAGACTGGAGTAATGATGCTGAACATTCACAGGAATAAATTACACTTTCCTGTATATTCACATAGAAATTTAAGAACAATATTTCACAATTTTACTGTTTTTTTACTGTATTTTCCAGTAGAAGAGACTTCTTAATCATCTTAATTTTCCACGCTTTTGACTGCTAGTGTAAAAGTGTCGTTTTTTTATTTAGAATGATGCAAATTGAAAATCTTTAAGTGAAAACGCACCAGTTTGCCCAGCTGGACTCTCTTCTCCTCGGCCACTCTTCCAGCCAGTGATATGGCGGCGACCCGGCGGGGTTGGGTGATGGCAATGATGCCCTGGCGCCCGATGCCCGCCTCATACAGGTACTGCGGTATCTGCGTGGTTTTACCGGAGCCCGTCTCACCTGCAACAGGAAAGTGTCATGTGTGCACTTTTCTTGATAAAATAGCGAGGATGGAAAAATATCTTTGTAAATACAGAAAAATGACTTATATTTCCTAATGGCCAAACTCAATAACTTGAGTTTGGGCACTAGTAAATAAAAACATGAAGCGACTAAATTAAATCTTTTTAAATGCCAAAATGCTTTTGTATGATTTAGGTAGTTTACATTTATATTTCTGCATTATATTTCAGCAGATGCTTTTATCCAAAGCAACATACACTGCATTGAAGGTTTACATTTTATTTTAGGTATAAAAAATTACATCAAAATTAAAGTTATTTTATTGTTTAAGGATTCCCTGAGAATCGAACCCATGACTTTGGTGTTGCTCTAATGTAATTAGAAAGTCCCTCATCTCATAAACATACGTGCATTATTTACAGACAAAGATTGTTTTTCATATGAAAAACCTGCAAAACACATAAATAAAAATGGGGTTTTCGACATTAAGAATGCTACATTAACCTACAACGTCCCTTCAAAAACATATTTTGGTGGAAGTTTAGTAATAATAACATGGTACTTTAATATGTACTATATGAATAATTACAGCTGACACAATACAAGTCAAAAAATATATGGTATTACCATGGTACATGTCCAAAATGCATAGGAATAGTAATACCACTGTGTACATGTCCAAAATGCATGGTATTGTCATGGTAGGTGTACAAAATGATAGTATTACCATGGTAATACTGATATGTTACATATCAGAAATGCATGATATTGCAATGGTAGTGTACACAATTCTTAGGATTAAGTTACTATACAAGTCGTTTGTACACATTACTATACCTATCCACAACTTCATACTAACATGCATGATGTTCCCATGGTATATGAACAAAATGCATGGTATTTCCATGGTTCATGTCCAAAATCATTGTATTACTAGCCCAATGTCCAAGAAGTAAGTTAGTGTATTGTCACAATACACGTAAAACATACATAGCATTACCACGGTATTATACTTTCTATACTTATACTGTCGGCTGAGGTCTTACCGATGAACACAGCATTGTGCAGTTGTCGGAGCTGGTTGATCACCTGTGTCCTGCTCGGGTAAATGGGCAACTGTCTCCTCTGAGCGTCCACGCTGACGGGCGTGTGTCCCGCTCTGGGCAACAGCATGCCGGGCTTCTTATCCAGGCGGAAGAAGGGGGAGCCCGGCTTAAATCTCTTCGCCGGAGGAGGGTCGGGGTCGTGGGGCATGATTTGCAGGAGACGCGCGGCACTGGGAATCCGTCTCACTCACCGAGAAGGGCTGATAGAGAGAGAAAGACGAAAGACGGACAGCAGACGAGTCTCGCGCTGCAGTTGTTTACATCATCCGCTCGCTCATGTGGCTCGCACATTCCGACGCGCGCTGATGACGTCGCCGAGCCTGTCTCCCACAACCATTTCATGTACATTTTCTCTAACTTTACCCAAATTAAATAATTGTTTTTGTGGCTTCAACTACTTAATAAAGACAAAATTAACAAAATAAAAGTGCAAAATGTGTGAAACTGTTTGACAATCTATTGAGTGATACGTAAGTTGCTCCACTGCAAACTTACGTCATTGTTGTAAATGTTCACTTATCCTTATATTTGGTATTTGGTTGTTCAGCAGCAAAAAAACAAAAGCAAAAAAAAAAAAAACAACAATAATTTTAATGTTTATATTTCTTTATCCTTAGATATGCCTCATGTGGTTAAGGATTCAGATAAGATACTGTATGACTTTATTTTGATAAAAAAAGCCGCGTTTTATAGGCTGTTCCGTTCCAACACATAGTACGCAATGCCATGCTAATTAAACGAAATGCGAAAAATTTGAGAAATATTGTTTAGAAAATGTTATAGCTGGTTTTAATAATATTCCTTCAAATAAAAGGAAGGAATACTATATTATAAATTTAATTTTAATTTATGCTAAATTCCATATACATAAATGTAAGTACAATAAAACCAAACCTTTGTTTTTGGTTCTTGAAAAAGAAATGCAATTATATATCAAAACTATCTTTCATTCCCACAATAAGAAAGCAATTAAAACTATTTCGATTTGTGAATCCTTTGATATTTTTATATAATGTTTAGCCTCCCCCCCTGGCTGTCTGATTTTTTTTATTTTTTTTGCTTGTTTTTATTTTCTCCATTTTTTATATATTGCAATTCTGACTATATTGACTTTGTTGTTGGTTAGAATAAAAAAAGAAGAAAAAAAAAGAAAAAAGAATTGGATTAATGTCGTCCATTACCACTGCACAGCGAAAGACATGTGTATTAACCAATCAGCGCACAGATACGCTCTCCCACAACATTCTGATTGGATGTCCGACTTGTACTAATATTGTGCCGCTTCCTGCAACGGTCTCTTTCTTTCACGCGTCCCTACAGTGAGGTGAGGTGTAATGCGTCCTTCTGCCACTTTCATTATTTTTTTACGATACACGTGATCATTCGAGTTGTAAATATATCATAATCGTGTTAAGATTCATGAGGAGATCTAATTCTTAGTCGATCCGTGTATAATAATAGTAGTTTGAGGAAAAAAATTAGCATTAGCATGTTAGCTTAGGCCTGTGCGCCACGTGAGATAAGACGTGAAACGTTTTTATGCTTATTTTCTTGTTGTAGATTGTGTCTTGTTTCGATTATAGAGGTGGATAATGCTTATATATAATATAAACCATACGTAGAGTGTGTATATATAACTCACGCTGCTTAAAATGAACTAACTTATAGCAGGTCATCTACAGATCAGCTGTGTCAGTGCTGATTGGTCGTTCCCCCTGCTGAAATAAAACTGGTTCCTACTATCCCTGTCTGTCGGTTTCCCACGACCTGCAGGGACGCTTGGTCTCAGACATTCTTTTATTAAATTAAGGCCATAGTATTATAGCAATTTTGTGTTAATTTGTTTTTTAGCTTTAAACAGCTGTGTTTTAGCACTTAAAACCAAGTCACCGTTGTCTAAGTGGTTTTCATTCTGTTTCTCAGATTTCAACCTTGTCTTTAAACCGGCTGTTCACCGATCCTTGGAAGCACTGCAAAGATGCCCAGGGAAGACAGGGCCACGTGGAAGTCCAACTACTTTCTGAAAATCATCGTAAGTTGTCAGCGTTTTTTGGCATGACCTACATAGAGCAGGTCATCTACAGATCAGCTGTGTCAGTGCTGATTGGTCGTTCCCCCTGCTGAAATAAAACTGTCTCCTACTATCCCTGAGTGTTTACATCCCACAGCTCACAGGGACGCTTGGTCTCAGACATGTTTTAATCGTAACCCCCATCGGGTTGAGTCGTTTCTGATAGTCTTTCTCCATGTGTGCAGCAACTGCTGGATGACTTCCCCAAGTGCTTCATCGTGGGCGCAGACAATGTCGGCTCCAAGCAGATGCAGACCATCCGTCTGTCCCTGCGGGGCAAGGCTGTCGTGCTTATGGGCAAAAACACCATGATGCGCAAGGCCATCCGTGGCCACCTGGAGAACAACCCGGCTCTGGAGAGGTGCGTGTCAGTCTGGGCACAAGGATGATCCACGGTAGAAAATTTAGGGCTTTTAAAGTTCTGGGGCCTTCTTTATAAAACACTCACAGGACAGGATTTTACCGTGAATCCTATGGTTTTTTTTATCCTCCATCAAAAGTGAGGAACAAATCGCAGCGTGATTAATACAGTACTGATGAATGGGATATGCAGGTCAAGTTACGGACTGGCTGTGTCAGTGCCTGTTTGTCGTTCCCCCTGCACAAATCAACATGTTTCCTACTATCCCTGAGTGTCTGCATCCCACGGCTCACAGGGACGCTTGGTTTCAGACATTATGAAAAAGTTATGGAAGTTGTAATTTAAAGTAAATCAAATACTTTATTAATTATGACATGTTTTACTATAAAATGAAAGCTATGTATCTAACCAAGTTGTGTTCCAAATTTGAAGTTGATTTCACAAAAATTGAAGTTCCCATGAGATTTTGTTTAGGCGTAGTACCAAAAATAGCCACCGGATGCCATTGAATTTAATTGTATGCATTTTGCCGTAACAAATTAATAAATTTCTATCCAAATATCACTTCTGTCACTAAATATGGAACCTTGAGACTCAGACCTTTCTGACAATATGTGTTAAGATTAGAAAAGGTTTTCATAATAAATTATGAAAGATGATGCCTAAAAGGGGAGGGGCCTAATAAAAAATACCGTCCAATTTCAAAACTGTTTTCAAAGGATGAATTCTGAGTTTGTAAGCTTTCAAATGATACCTAATTTATGATAACTACTAAAATATGTGATATAATAATAAAAAACTATATTTGTGTATATATATATAATATATTATACTATACTTCTTACCTTACTTTTTAAAATATAATTTTATTTTTTTTATTGACAAATACTAATTATGTTTTATTATGAACTTTTAGCGCTAAAAACCAAAGTTTCAATTATTAAAAGTGTGTGCGTCGACTTTTTGAGACAAAGGTCAGAAACTCCTGTAATGACTTTTTTTTAATTTTTTTTAATTTTTTTTTTGAGGCGCACTCTTGTCATATATTCATATATCACTGTTCATTCATAATTTGTAAGAAAAAAACAGACCTAAAATATAAATAGTTTAAAAAAATATATATTTAAAAAAAAAAATAATAATAGTTTGTCATGACAAGATTAGGATTTAATAGTAATATAGTGAAGTAAAATTAGGTTGCCCGTATACGGGCAAGTGACAGTTAAGGGGTTAAATGGGGTTCAGTTTGAATTATTCCTGTGTTTTTGCAGGCTGCTTCCCCACATCCGTGGGAATGTCGGCTTCGTCTTCACAAAGGAGGATCTGCCTGAGGTCAGGGACCTGCTTCTGCAAAACAAAGTGAGTATGACTGTTGAGTGACTGAGTTCAGGGCATGAATGTGTCTGTTGTGGTGTAACTCGTGTGATGTCTGGTCTTAGGTGCCCGCTGCTGCCCGTGCCGGTGCCATCGCCCCCTGCGAGGTCACCGTCCCGGCCCAGAACACCGGTCTCGGTCCTGAGAAGACCTCCTTCTTCCAGGCTTTGGGAATCACCACCAAGATCTCCAGAGGAACCATTGAAATCTTGGTGAGTATGATTATTGGTTTTCGACGTAATCAATCACACCCCATTTCAGCACTTGTGTGTGGCTTTTCTTTTCTCTTAAAACACTAGTTTTAAAAGTTGCTTGTGTAAGTGCACTATAACATGGTGTATCTTTTATATAATTAGTTTGAAGTAAATCCATGAGAATTCACTATTAAAAAAGCTATTTAAAAATAATAATAAAACCCATGATTTCCAAATATACTTGAGCAATCATGTTTAATATTTGAACCTCATGTAATCAGTAATGTGTGGTAGGAATGCTGGATTACGGCTTATCTTATTTCTAATTTAACCCCATTATTGGTGGGCGACGCAATCTGTCTTCACGATAAGAGTAATTTAAAATATTGGTGAAATTTCACAATTATCGATACTTAAGAAAAAACTAATACTAGCTTAACTAATGTAAGGGAAAAGTCCTCAAAATTACACGAGACAAGTAAACGATCAGCAATGCAAAGTAATTGCAAACAAAATGGAAAAATACAACAGAACAAATATATGAATTAAGTAACACTTTTAATACATTTTCCTAATTCTTAAAACACTAAGTCTAAGAAAAAAAAATGTAATGTAAAATAAAACTAGTCTTGCTTGTGTACATTAAATATCTCAATCGCTTTTTATTCTCTTTTTTTTTTATCTCGTCATGTTTATCATTGATTGACTCCATCCAGTATATTAGACTGCTGTCATATTTGATTTTCTTCTAATACTGCTCATGAACTGACTGACCTGTTCTGCCCGCAGAGCGACGTTCAACTGATCAAACCTGGAGACAAGGTGGGCGCCAGCGAGGCCACGCTGCTCAACATGCTGAACATCTCGCCCTTCTCCTACGGGCTGATCATCCAGCAGGTGTATGATAACGGCAGCGTCTACAGCCCAGAGGTGCTGGACATCACTGAAGATGCCCTGCACAAGAGGTTCCTGGAGGTTCGTGCCCTTAAACCTACTGTTATTGAGTGTAAACATGCAGGTCAAGTTACGGACTGGCTGCGTCGGTGCCTGTTTGTCGTTCCCCCTGCACAAATCAACATGTTTCCTACTATCCCTGAGTGTCTGCATCCCACGGCTCACAGGGACGCTTGGTTTCAGACACTTTTTTTTATATTTTAATTATAATGTCGGGCTTGGTAAACACTCACTAACTTGTTCACCGTTTTCCTTTCAGGGTGTGAGGAACATCGCCAGTGTGTGTCTGCAGATCGGCTACCCCACGCTCGCCTCCATCCCTCACTCCATCATCAATACTTACAAGAGGGTCCTGGCTGTCGCCGTGGAGACCGACTACTCCTTCCCCATGGCCGAGAAGGTACGACTCGACTCTTTTCTTTCTCCACACTTGTGTTAGGTTATAAAGGAGTCTCGAGTCAAGTCTAGGAGTCTTTCTGGTCCATATGGATCCACTACAACATCTGTACTGTATTGCAGATGCGCATATCGTGATATCAATGCTTTGAGAAATCAGGCTCTCGTAAGGGATGACTTTTAATGTGTTTTTTTTTTTTTTTTTCTTCAGGTGAAGGCCTTCCTGGCTGATCCCACCGCTTTCGCGGTTGCGGCTCCTGTTGCTGCTGTTGCGGTGGAGAAAACCGCGGCTCCTGCTAAAGTGGAGGCGACCAAGGAGGAGTCCGAGGAGTCTGATGAGGACATGGGCTTTGGCCTGTTCGATTAAACTCCTGAATGAACATGTCAGTTTAACTCCAATAAAACATCTGGAAACAGCCGTTGTGACTCTTGTGTCTTTGGGTTGGTGTGTGTAGAAATATTCTATTGATGCACTTATTTTAATACACTAAAAGTTCTTTACTTTAAGTCTGCAGGAAGCTTTATTAATGGGTACTTAATGAATAGTTCACAATTCTGTTGCACATCATCATTTTGAATGAACTTTAAAGGGTTCGTTCATCCAAAAATGAAAATTCTGTCAGCATTTACTCTCCCTCATGTTGTTCCAACCCTCTGTGTGTTTATTTGTTCTGCTGAACACAAAGGAAGAATGGTTTAATCAAACAGATCTCATTCCCCATTGACTGCCATAGTTGGAAAAAATGCATACTATGGTAGTCAATGGGGAATGAGATCTGTTTGATTAAAACATTCTTCCAAATATCTTCTTTTGTGTTCAGCAGAACAAATAAACACAGAGGGTTGGAACAACATGAGGGAGAGTAAATACTGACCGAATTTTCATTTTTGGGTGAACTAACCCTTTAAAGTAACAAAATGTCAATCTATTTTACTTGGTTCAAAAGGTTATGAATGAAAAAAAACTTGGATGCTAACAAAATATATATATATATACACCATTAACACAAGGATTTTTACTGTAAAAATAATGTATCTAAATGTAAAACACTTCTATTCTTGATGCTTTCTAAACAATTTCCTCAAATAGATGACATATTTGGGCCTATTAGTGAAATTCTCTGCCGCCTCATATGAGGACATGCATGAACTTCAGCTCCAGAGTCACTTAATGAGAATTTTACAGTTTCATTTGATTAAAACTACTGTAATAATAAATACAAACTCCAAAGTCTTCACAGCAACCTGTCCAACAGTACACTAGAATTTAGCTATGCCTCAAATGTAATAATAATACTAATAATAAACAAAAATATATATAAAAAAAAAATTAGCTACGCCTCAATGTATTAATAATACTAATAAACACTAATAATAAAAAAGTAAGGAATAATAAAATATTGTGCAGCACTTTGTTTGACAATTTTTATTTTATTTCATATGATTAAAAGATGCATTGTTTTATGCCTTCAGTTGATAGAAATATTTTTAATTACTAATTTGTGTTTATGAATTCAATTAATTAGAAATGCTTTTTGATTATTTAAATGAAATCCAGAAATCTTAAAACAGAAAAAAAACGTATTTCACAGGGCCCTAAACATGTCAATTTTTATGTTGTTAAATGCTTTTTGGTTGACTAAAAATGAAAAGGGAACGAGCAGAACTCCATCATGCTAAACAACCGCTCTTTTCAGATTCAGAATTACACTCTGCAAATGAATCTCATTTTGGTGGAGCAGTGGTTGTCATTTAGTTTCCCAGTATACATAAATTGTCCACAATCCTCTCCTTCCTCTCCCACTCCCAGATTGTGTCCTTTATAGTCATCCGGCTGCCCGGGATTCCAGCGTCTGTGAACAATGACAACCAACAAATGTCACACCATTCCATCTGCAAATACAACATTTTGGCTTCCCATCCGATCTTAAAGGGTTAGTTCACCCAAAAATGAAAATTAAGTCATTAATTACTCACCCCCATGCTGTACCAACCCCGTAAGACCTTCGTTCATCTTCGGAACACAAATAAAGATATTTTTGATTGAATCTGAGAGCTGTATCACTCTTCCATAGACAGCCTGAGGGACTGCCTCTTGACGGCCCATAAAGTCATTAAAAGAAAAGGTTTAAATATTCCATGTGCCTACAGCGGCTCAACTATAACTTTATCAAGCGACGAGACTACTTTTTGTGCGAAAAAAAAACGTAAATAACGACTTTATTCGACTTTCCATTACTTCCTTATGGGCGCATGCGCGAGAACTGAGACGAGACCGTTCTTCTTCGACTACTTTTTGTTACCGGCTGCTCACCGCTTAGGAGTTTTACCGCCCCCTACCGTATAAGATGACGTACTGATATAGCCGGAGGCGCAAAACGTTCTGTTTACAAGCAGTACGTCATCTTATACGGTAGGGGGCGGTAAAACTCCTAAGCGGTGAGCAGCCGGTAACAAGAAGTAGTCGAAGAAGAACGGTCTCGTCTCAGTTCTCGCGCATGCGCCCATAAGGAAGTAATGGAAAGTCGAATAAAGTCGTTATTTACGTTTTTTTTTTCGCACAAAAAGTAGTCTCGTCGCTTGATAAACTTATAATTGAGCCGCTGTAGGCACATGGAATATTTAAACCTTTTCTTTTAATGACTTTATGGGCCGTCAAGAGGCAGTCCCTCAGGCTGTCTATGGAGGACTGATCCAGCTCTCAGATTCAATCAAAAATATCTTTATTTGTGTTCCGAAGATGAACGAAGGTCTTACGGGGTTGGTACAGCATGGGGGTGAGTAATTAATGACTTAATTTTCATTTTTGGGTGAACTAACCCTTTAAGTTGATTTTACATATGCATTTAATCCCAACACCAAATATTTAAACAGATGACATTTTTGTTGAATGCAAAATGCATTTTCTTGCAAAACAATTTATTTTGAAGTAAAGCTGCTTTGTTTCCTGTTCATGTTTATAATGAGCAATAATTGACTTGAATGTGTGAGGCTTTTACCTTTACAAACACAGTCTGTTTCGCTGCTTGATATTGCAAACTGGTATTTTTTATCATATTATTTGAATTATCATAATTATTAAACACATTGGTTTCTACTTCAAATAGTTGTACCATGTACTGCACGTTTTTGTGAATAATGCATGATTCAGCTCACTCTATGTTCATAGTGTAAGGAGTGTCATCCGCCCATCTCCACTGGCCTGTGTTCTGATCCGTTAGACCGACCCAGTAGGGTAGGGGCATTGTATGCTTGTTTAGAAATGTCTAGGGGGAAGATAGGAACAGATTTAAAAAAAAAAAAAAAAAGTAAAATCAAAATGCAATACTATGCGCATCCATGAACGTTACGCACCCACTCCTCATCGTCCTCTTCTATTTTGAGGAGTGACGCGCCCTGTGATTTGCAGTTATCTCGTGCCCCAGTCCAGCTGAGTTCATTATTGGAGAACAAGAAACAGCTGCTTTTGTGCGATATCCAGCCAGATTTACAGGTTACAGGGACGTCTGCGTGAGAGAGAGAGAGAAAAGATGCAAAATAAGAGCAAATTTAAAGGGTCAGTGCCCCGAAAATGAAAGGCCGGTCATTACAACAACAAAAAAAAAAAATCACACTATTATTACCTTTATTTTACCAGGAAAGAAGACTCACTTAGATTAAATCTCTTTTTCGGGAGTGTCCTGGATAATCTTGATAAATCTTATCAAACAACAACACTCTTTCCAAACCCTTAAGACTTTCACTCATTTTCAGAACACAAATAAAGATGTTTTTTAATGAAATCTGAGAGATTTCTTTCCCGCCTCTATTGACAGTCTGTGCAACTACAACTTTCAAGGCACAGAAAGGTAGTAAAGACATTAATTAGGGATGCACCACCTGGTTGATATACGATCATTTATATTATACCATGGTCTGGGTGAATACTCGATTCTGATTGGCTGCAGGGTGTCCGTTAAAAAGTGATAGAGGACACCTAGTAAAGTAGTTCTGGTGAAACTGCCTGTTTACCATTCGAAATGAATAAATAAATGCGCTGCCCACAACAGCTGTGAGTAACCATAGCAACAGCCAGTCAAAGTATCCGTTAACAATTTGCTCTATCAAAACAAACATCTAACGTTAGTTGGATATTACACAGCCTACTAATACAACAATGAGCGACTTCGTTATTTCTTTTAACATTTATGGAGAATATGACAACTTTGACGACTGGGATGCTGCTGAAGAAAGAAAAAATGTAAATAAAACGGAGAAACGTCACAAAGAAAATGACACCGCTGCTTCTCTGAATGAGACCCTGCGGGAGTTTTACGCAGCTGTCCAGACAACCAGCAGGAGTTTCAAGCCTAAGAAGCCTGTTTGATTAATTGTTTTATGTGTAATAAAAAAATAACTATGCCTACCGTTGTGTTTCATGAAAAAAAAAAAAGCATTTTTGAACCTGAAGGGTTCTACAAGCTGAGCGGATTATAAATATCTCCGGTTGCTAAATAAACCAAGCTATTATTTGTAAAAACTTGATTTAGCCTGATTAAAATATAAACTAGCAGCTAATGTTTTAAAAATGTTTTATTTGGCAAGTGACCATGGTATAAGCGGGTTAATGCCTTTCGAGGCGTCCATTGTCAGGTTTTAATGGACTTCGGCGGAGGCAACTGTCCTCCGCTGCGCGTCGGTCGGTTCACGCCTCGCCGTCGTCCATTAAAACCTGACAATGGACACCTCGTCGGGCATTAACCCTTACATGTTATTGCCATCACTAAATGTTCTTATCAAGCCGATATATTAAAGTAGTGCTACATTCTTTGTTGACCTTATGTAGCCACGCCCCTCTGCATCTGTATTTTCACTGTGTCGTGCGTATTTATGAATGAACGGCTTGTTTTAGTCTTCCCGTTCGACTGACATTTGTTAAGACATCTGCTTTAAACATTACAATCCTCATGATAACTTTCGTTAACTCTACAATAAGTAAATCCACTTCAAAAGCGAATTTCTCCTGGCAGCGATGCCATAGAAATATATAGAGCGATACTGCGATAGCAAAAACGGAAGTTCAAAGACGATATTCTCGAGATGTCCCTCGTTTCTCTGGTGCATTAGGTCTATATAGGCATCTAAGGTTCTATAAAGAACCTTTAACATGCAAAAGGTTCTTTATAGTAAAATGTTCTTAAGATATTTACATTTTACAAATGGTCCACTGAGGATGTTCACTGAAAGGTTCTAAGAGGAGCTAAAAACTTTTTTTTTTTTTGAGTAATTAATTTTTTGTTTTTGTTTTTGAGGAACTAAAAGTACTTGTTTGAGGAACTAAAAATGTTCCTTTGAGGAATTCAAATTTTTTTTTTTTTTTTTTTTGAGAATTTTTTTTTTTTTTTTTTGAGGAAATAAAACTGTTCCTTTGAGGAACTAAAAATGTTTCTTTAAGGGAATCGCTCCGAAACCCTTTTCCTGGAAGCTTTATCTTTAAGAGTGTAGAGGCAGTACCTGCTGTTTTGTTTTCCATGTTCGATTTCAGATCCTTCAGAGCGTTCATGACTCTCTCCTCTACAAGAAAACACACTAAACCTTAGACTTTCTGCAGTTAATTTAATTTCAATCCAATTATTTCCAATGTAAAGAATAATGTCAGTATCAGCATGCAGGTCCATGAAATCAACAATAATGATTATATTTCTGAAATCATGCCTAATAAAAGAGGTCAATTTAACAGATTCGGTTATTCATTCATAATGCAGTTGTTGTACTCGACTCACCAGAGATCTGTTGTTTAGAGGACAGAGAAGCGACAGATGAACTGAGATCTGACACTGAACTCTTCAGGACACTCAATGAGCTCGACAGAGACGCTTGAAAGACAAAAATATGATATATCAGCAAGATTAATATGTAGTTTTAGTGATGTTTTATGATAAATATATTATGCAAGCCTATAACTACAAACTTTTACATATTTTTTAAAAATGTTTCTGACTCACCGAAGTCCCGTTGTTTGCTCTGTTGGTCAGACAGTATGGAGGACTTCAAACTGTCCAGCGATCGCTCGGTTTCAGTCTGTTTCTGGTCCTGCGTTTTAACTGGGAGAAAAAAGGTTGGAGTTAATACAATTATATTCCTCAATACACAGATGATAAGAAATATGCGAGATTATTAAATGATTTCAACACCTGCATCATTCAGTTTGGATGTCAACACTGATACTGCAGAATTCAAGCTGTCAGTCAAACTCTTCATATCCTGCTGCCGCACTGAGGGAAACAAGTTGATGTTGCATTTAGATAGCAGGGATGCACCTATGAACGTATTGCCCTTTACCGATAATCAATAATCATTTACATTTGAATGCCAATAACCGAAATATTGGCCGATGAATCTAAATACTTTGATAGCCTGAATAGTAAAGGCTCGTTCCAAACACTTCAACATAAATAAGTGTAAGATTCCTGAACTTTTAACATTTATTTTACACTCAAATGGCCAACTTTCTTTATTAAAAAATGGTAACACTTTATACTTGTTTTATTTTGTTAGCATTAGTTAACATCATAAACCAACAATTAATGAACAATACTTCTACAGTATTTATTTATCTTAGTTTAAAAAAAAGACATTTTTTAGATTCAAAGTTGTATCTGTTAACATGCACTGGAAACTAACATGAACACAAATAGGCTGTTTTATGAACTAACATGAACAAAGGCTGTGCTCTGTTAGTTAATACAATAAAAGAGTGAGTAAAGTGTTACCAAAACATCTATTGCCTAACAAAAAAATTCAATTAAATTAAAATAAAATACCTTAATAATGCAAACAAGTCATTGGATAACATTGGGCTGGATATAAAGATACAAAATGCATGTGCCATGGATAAATAAATAAAATGGAATCGCCTCCGCACGGGAAATTATTTTAATCAAAACATATTGTTGATGAAAATAATACGAGAACAAAAAAGTGCTAAATATTAATGGTTGATTCTTTATTTGGATAATTTGTTGGGAGGTGGATGCCATTTTATTTGAGAATAGTTTTCTCCTGTGTTATATAAAGATGAAGTTAGGGAAGTGTTTGTCTTTTGATTTATTTATTGTAATGTAGTGTCTACTCACGGACTGATAGTTGAGAAGAAAGCGATGCGACAGATGAACTGAGATCTGACACTGAACTCTTCAGGACACTCATTGAGCTCGACAGAGACGCTTTAACAATGAGACAAAAGCCATAAATATGATATAATACGATTATCAGCAATGTCATTTCTACCGAGGCGTATTGCATTCACTTGAAGAAAAAAAATCTACTCTGTTTTTCTGAATTAACGAGTTAATTTTTCATGAGAAAAAAAAAATTGCTCTGTTTTTCTGAATTAATGAGTTAATTTTTCATGAGAAAAAAAAATTGCTCTGTTTTTCTGAATTAATGAGTTAATTTTTCATGAGAAATTTTTTTTTGCTCTGTTTTTCTGAATTAACGAGTTAATTTTTCATGAGAAAAAAAACATTTTGCTCTGTTTTTCTGAATTAACGAGTTAATTTTTCATGAGAAAAAAAAATTGCTCTGTTTTTCTGAATTAATGAGTTAATTTTTCATGAGAAATTTTTTTTTGCTCTGTTTTTCTGAATTAACGAGTTAATTTTTCATGAGAAAAAAAATTTTGCTCTGTTTTTCTGAATTAATGAGTTAATTTTTCATGAGAAAAAAAAATTTTGCTCTGTTTTTCTGAATTAACGAGTTAATTTTTCATGAGAAAAAATTTTTTTGCTCTGTTTTTCTGAATTAATGAGTTAATTTTTCGTGAGAAAAAAACTTTTTGCTCTGTTTTTCTGAATTAACGAGTTAATTCAGAAAAACAGAGCAAAAAAAAAATCCATGAAAAATTAACTCGTTAATTCAGAAAAACAGAGCAAAAAAAAAATCCATGAAAAATTAACTCGTTAATTCAGAAAAACAGAGCAAAATATTTTTTTCTCATGAAAAATTAACTCATTAATTCAGAAAAACAGAGTAGATTTTTTTTTCTTCAAGTGAATGCAATACGCCTCCGTACCATTTCTCTGAGGGTCATATTATGCAAGCCTATAACGTCATACAAACTTTTATATATATTTTTAGTGCTGGGCAACGATTAATAGCAAAATAAAAGTTTGTGTTTACATAATATATATGTGAGCACTGCGTATAATTATTTTGTATATATAAATACACACACATGCTTGTATATATATTTAAGAAATATGTGCATGAATATATTGTATGCATATTTATATTATATATAAATGTTAATATTTTATATGTAAATAACACATTTTTCTTAAATATATGCATGCATGTGTGTATAAATAATTACACGCAATGCTCACATATATATTATGTAAACACAAACTTTTATTTTGGATGCGATTAATCGCAATAAAACGTTGCCCAGCACTAATTTTTTAAAAGTTTCTGACTCACCGAAGTCCCGTTGTTTGCTCTGTTGGTCAGACTGTATGGAGGACTTCAAACTGTCCAGCGATCGTTCAGTTTCAGTCTGTTTCTGGTCCTGCGTTTTAACTGGGAGAAAAAAGGTTGGAGTTAAAACTAAAGAATTATCTTCCTCAATAGACAGGTAATAAGAAATATGCAAGATTAATAAATGATTTCAACACCTGCATCATTCAGTTTGGATGTCAACACTGATACTGCAGAATTCAAGCTGTCATTCAAACTCTTCATATCCTGCTGCCGCACTGTGGAAAACAAGTAGATGTTGCATATTGACTTTGAATATAGTAGATTTATGTAATAGTAGCATGACCTGTTGACTTACTGCTAAATACTTTTGTTTTGATGTCTTTTAACGCTCCATAACTCACGCCCTGTCTGTAGTGTGATGGAGTGCCGTATTGCACATGTAATGTAGTGTCTACTCACGGACTGATAGTTGAGAAGAAAGCGATGCGACAGATGAAGTGAAATCTGACACTGAACTCTTCAGGACACTCATTGAGCTCGACAGAGACGCTTTAACAATGAGACAAAAGCCATAAATACGATATACTGGATCAGCAAGATCACTGCATTGCAGTAATGACTTGGTGAATGAGGAAGTATACAAAAATGCATACTGTGGAAGCTTGTTTCTGCCACAGAATGAAACATTTTAAAAGATAATTGCGATTTTATTTCTCCCAATCTCTCAACTGCATGTTATATGGTCAGAATTGTGAGATAAAAAGTCGCACTTATCTTTAAAATGTTTTATCCTGTGGAGGAAACCAGATAGCATACTGTGTGTTCACTAAACATCTGATTTGTTAACATAGCGAATGCCTGAGTAAATATATTTTTTACTTTTACAGCATTAACCTTTGTAAAAAGGTGCAGAAAGCGATTTCTGAGAAACTGTTGATATTTGAAATCAACCCAATCAAACACACACCCTTCCATTCATTGCTCCGCCCCCAAAATACACGAGCAGCACGTAATGCAAGAGTGAATGCATTGCAGATGGAGCAGAAACAACGCAGCCTCAACATTCATTTTCAGGCCTTCCTGCTCTTTAACGTCTCTAATATTAATGCAGGTCCTAAAGCTCTTGCCTGATCATAACTGATATTCCAGTTTTTCTCTATTTTAATGTCTCTCAGCCATCTCTCTGTCTACAGTCTTTCTTCAAATCCCCCTCTTGGTCTCTCTTTTTCTCCTCCCCCATTATGAGTGGACACACCCCCTGCTGCTGATTGGCTCACTCTCTCTCCTCCCCATTATGAATGGACACGCCCCCTACTGCTGGTTGGCTCACTCTCTCCCCTCCCCAATAATGAGTGGACACGCCCCCTACTCCTGATTGGCTCACTCTCTCCCCTACCCATTATGAGTGGACACGCCCCCTACTGCTGATTGGCTCACTCTCTCCCCTCCCCAATTATGAGTGGACACGCCCCCTACTGCTGATTGGCTCACTCTCTCCCCTCCCCAATTATGAGTGGACATGCCCCCTACTGCTGATTGGCTCACTCTCTCTTCTCCCCAATTATGAGTGGACACGCCCCCTACTGCTGATTGGCTCACTCTCTCTCCTCCCCATTATGAATGGACACGCCCCCTACTGCTGGTTGGCTCACTCTCTCCCCTCCCCAATAATGAGTGGACACGCCCCCTACTGCTGATTGGCTCACTCTCTCCCCTACCCATTATGAGTAGACACGCCCCCTACTGCTGATTGGCTCACTCTCTCCCCTCCCCAATTATGAGTGGACATGCCCCCTACTGCTAATTGGCTCACTCTCTCCCCTCCCCAATTATGAGTGGACACGCCCCCTACTGCTGATTGGCTCACTCTCTCCCCTCCCCATTATGAGTGGACACACCCCCTGCTGCTGATTGGCTCACTCTCTCCCCTACCCATTATGAGTAGACACGCCCCCTACTGCTGATTGGCTCACTCTCTCCCCTCCCCAATTATGAGTGGACATGCCCCCTACTGCTAATTGGCTCACTCTCTCCCCTCCCCAATTATGAGTGGACACGCCCCCTACTGCTGATTGTCTCACTCTCTCCCCTCCCCAATCATGAGTGGACACGCCCCCTACTGCTGATTGGCTCACTCTCTCCCCTCCCCAATTATGAGTGGACACACCCCCTGCTGCTGATTGTCTCACTCTCTCCCCTCCCCAAGTATGAGTGGACACACCCCCTACTGCTGATTGGCTCACTCTCTCTCCTCCCCAATTATGAGTGGACACACCCCCTACTGCTGATTGTCTCACTCTCTCCCCTCCCCATTATGAGTGGACACACCCCCTGCTGCTGATTGGCTCACTCTCTCCCCTCCCCAATTATGAGTGGACACGCCCCCTACTGCTGATTGTCTCACTCTCTCCCCTCCCCATTATGAGTGGACACACCCCCTACTGCTGATTGGCTCACTCTCTCCCCTCCCCATTATGAGTGGACACACCCCCTGCTGCTGATTGGCTCACTCTCTCCCCTCCCCATTATGAGTGGACACACCCCCTACTGCTGATTGTCTCACTCTCTCCCCTCCCCATTATGAGTGGACACACCCCTGCTGCTGATTGGCTCACTCTCTCCCCTCCCCAATTATGAGTGGACACGCCCCCTACTGCTGATTGTCTCACTCTCTCCCCTCCCCATTATGAGTGGACACACCCCCTGCTGCTGATTGGCTCACTCTCTCCCCTCCCCATTATGAGTGGACACACCCCCTGCTGCTGATTGGCTCACTCTCTCCCCTCCCCATTATGAGTGGACACACCCCCTGCTGCTGATTGGCTCACTCTCTCCCCTCCCCAATTATGAGTGGACACGCCCCCTACTGCTGATTGGCTTGCTCTCTCCTACTCCATTATGAGTGGACACGCCCCCTACAAGTGTGTTGTGGTGATCTACTTTAGCAGTGTTTCTCAGAAATCGCTTGAGTAACAGCTGATTTCAAATAGTCCAAATATTTTGTTTTAGCGTTTTATTATGTTTTTGCACCTGGTTGCCAACTGTGAAAGGAAAAAAACATATATATATGATTGATAAATGATCAACAATATGAAAGTTTGCTCTTAAAATAATTTCTTATGGTTGTCTTCTTTAAATGATAAGATTTGCAGACCTGTGTCATTCAGTTTGGATGTCAGCGCAGATACAGCAGAATTCAAACTGTTCATCAAACTCTTCACTTCAGTGTGTGACAGATCCTGCTGGCGCTCTGTGAAAAAGTAAAACGAGTCATGCTATTACAGTCAGAAATACGCAGTTGTACCTGATAACGCAAACTTTTGAAAATGGGTTTGAAAGTGGACGTTTTTGAAAACGATCTCCGTGTAAACAACAAAAACGTTAAACTGAAAATGATGACCATCTGATGGCCTGGCAGCAGAATACAGCGTTTTTAGTCATTTTCACAGATCACTGTGAATGGGGATTGTTTCGTCAATGGTGTTGTCTCAGAAAACTCAAAGGACTTCTCTGTTTTAATTATAATTATAAAGGTCTGAAGTTTTCATATGCCTTTTTTGCGTATTCTCAGTTCGGTGGCTCTGAATTGTCAAAACACCTCTCAAAATGCTTGCTACGGAAGAGAAAAACACAGAAAATCAAACCCGATCTGAATATTTTATGACGGACAAAAGTTTCGGACGAGTATTTCGAAATCAGTGTGCAAGCAGCTTAAGACTAAACTGAACTGAATCACATGAAACAAACACACAGGAATGAAAGTAACACAAAACACAACATAATCCTGACACGTGTGCTGATTTCGGAGTATTTAAATGTACAATACATAATAAGAAATTGAAATCTCACCCAGCTTTTGTTGGTTTTCCGCTTGTTTGGATGTGATTGAACTCAATGAAGAGGCAAGATTGGTCATCAAGGTCTCAATATTCTTTTCTTGAGGTTTGACTGAAGTTTGATTGGAACTATGAAGATTCATCCAACTCTCCAGCACGGAGAATGTCCTTTGTTGATGAAAAACTGAGAAGACACATGCCTTTGGTGTGAGAGACCCAGGTTCGAATCCACTGTGAGACACCAATGTGTCCCTGAGCAAAACACTTAAAGGGTTAGTTCACCCAAAAATGAAAATTAAGTCATTAATTACTCACCCCCATGCTGTACCAACCCCGTAAGACCTTCGTTCGTCTTCGGAACACAAATGAAGATATTTTTGATTAAATTTGAGAGCTGGATAACTACCACATTGGCTCCTAAGGGACTGCCTCTTGACGGCCCAAAAAGTCAATGAAGAAAATGTTTAAATATCCCAAGTGACTACCGTGGCTCAACTATATGTTTATCAAGCGACGCGAATACTTTTTGTGCGAAAAAACAAACAAAAATAACGAGTTTATTCGACTATTTTTTTCTTCCTTGTAGGCCAGAACGAGACTTCCTTATAGATTTCCACGACGCATGCGCGAGATTTGCGATCTGCGTACACAGCTTACACTACTTCAGATCGCAAATCTCGCGCATGCGTCGTGGAAATCTATAAGGAAGTCTCGTTCTGGCCTACAAGGAAGAAAAAAATAGTCGAATAAACTCGTTATTTTTGTTTGTTTTTTCGCACAAAAAGTATTCGCGTCGCTTGATAAACATATAGTTGAGCCACGGTAGTCACTTGGGATATTTAAACATTTTCTTCATTGACTTTTTGGGCCGTCAAGAGGCAGTCCCTTAGGAGCCAATGTGGGTTGGTACAGCATGGGGGTGAGTAATTAATGACTTAATTTTCATTTTTGGGTGAACTAACCCTTTAAGCCCTAGTTGCTCCACAGGCGTGCGACCTCTCACATATATTATATAGCAATTGTAAGTCGCTTTGGATAAATGCATCAGCTAATTGAATAAATCTAAATGTATCAAAATAAGTCTCAGGTTACAACTGTAACTAGTTCCCTGAGAGGGAACGATACGCTGCGTCGAGACCAAGCGTGCCGCACAAGCCCTCAAAACGTCTCGATCGCCCCCCTGTGGCCGGTCCTAGTATAGCTCATAACCCCCGCCTCCCCATGTTATTCAATGGGACGCGAGACCAACTAAACAATTAAATTACACTTCACATATCCTTTTTCCAAAGATAGTTTCTGTCATTTGCTGTAGTTTCTATCACGTTGATGTAATTTCAAGTGTTCGTTTTTAAAATAAGTTTGTTTTTACTTTTAAAACGGTGCTCTGACATCATGATTGACAGCTGTGATTGACAGGTTCTCTGTGCGAGGTAGTCACTGAAGCACCAGCGGACTTTTTTTTTAATAATGTTGATTATGTGGTTAGTAGTTGTATTTACCTTATTTTAACGAGGTTTTGAAATCAGCAGACATCATTGGAGAAGAACGAAGCAAGTGGGGCGTGAGCTTGCGTTTGATTCAGGGCGCGGCCTTGATTTCGCGGCTTTACTTCCTGCTCACGACTGCGCATGACTGGTCCCGAAAAACGCAAGTGCGCAGACTCAGGTCCCAGGATGTCAGCGTCATATCGAGACACTGGCGGCTTCAGTTCTCTCTGATGGAAAAGAGCGAAGCTCCATAAAATTCCAGTGACGCCCAGGGAGTTTTCAATTGTCATGGATGCGATCCCTACAGGGGTCTTAGCATTATTCAGAGCTAATAACCAAACCAGTACTACACCCCTTACTTCCTTTAATTTATTTGATACTGAAATTGGGAAGATTTGTTTTGGCCCCGGAGTCGTAAATGTAAATAAAACCATTCGTTCATTGTTTCAAAAAGATATTGTCACGAGGCCAAACTGTATTGTTTACTGGAATAGACTGGTTGAAGGTCTGTTATGGAAGGCCATCTGGACTTTACCAAACAAATATTTATTGGTAAACAAAATAAAGGAAATTAGCTTTAAAATCTTACACAGGTACTACCCAGTAAATAATTTTCTTGTTAAATTTAAAAAGGATATTGATCTGAACTGTTCTTTATGCAATACATTGCCTGAAACTTTGTTTCATCTGTTTTGGCATTGCGCTCATGTAAGAAAGTTTTGGAAAGACTTATCTAGATTTATAATTCACAATATTGACCCCTCTTTTTCTTTGTGTTTAGAAAATGTTATAGCTGGTTTTAATAATATTCCTTCAAATAAAAGGAAGGAATACTATATTATAAATTTAATTTTAATTTATGCTAAATTCCATATACATAAATGTAAGTACAATAAAACCAAACCTTTGTTTTTGGTTCTTGAAAAAGAAATGCAATTATATATCAAAACTATCTTTTATTCCCACAATAAGAAAGCAATTAAAACTATTTCGATTTGTGAATCCTTTGATATTTTTATATAATGTTTAGCCTCCCCCCCCCCTGGCTGTCTGATTTTTGTTTTTGTTTTTTCTGCTTGTTTTTGTATTCTCCATTTTGTATATATTGCAATTCTGACTGTATATTGACTTTATTGGTTAGAATAAAAAAAAAAATAAAAATAAAAAAAAGAAAAGAGCGAAGCGTCCATCTTTTTTTACAGTCTATGGTCGAGACGCTGTGGGAACGCCCCTGCGTCGTGAAGCAAGTGTATAATCAGTCCAATGGAGAGATGAGACGTCATAGCCATATGCGGGTGACGTCATCAACCAGGAAACTATAAACTATATTATAAATTGAATTTTAATTTATGCTAAATTCCATATACATAAATGTAAGTACAATAAAACCAAACCTTTGTTTTTGGTTCTTGAAAAAGAAATGCAATTATATATCAAAAATATCTTTTATTCCCACAATAAGAAAGCAATTAAAACTATTTCGATTTGTGAATCCTTTGATATTTTTATATAATGTTTAGCCTCCCCCCCCCCAGCTGTCTGATTTTTGTTTTGTTTGTTTGTTTGTTTTTTGCTTGTTTTTGTTTTCTCCATTTTGTATATATTGCAATTCTGACTGTATATTGACTTTGTTGGTTAGAATAAAAAAATAAAAATAAAAAATAAATAAAAATGTACAAAAAAACAAACAAAAAAACCGAAGCAAGTCGATCACAGGCATGCAGGGCGTATCTCCATGCTCATGTCTAATATGGACAAACAAAAATAAATAGACAGAGACAGATTCACAGTGCTTGCTGCCGCGGTCTGTTTTCAGCATAGACAGTAAAAGAAATGGACTCCGCGACCCCATAGACTTCAACTGAAAAAAGTGAAGCCAATAGAGCTTGGGTGCCACATTGCATTCTGGGACGTGGTGGCCATGTTGAGCGTCTCGACGCAGCTCAAAAAACAAACTTTTTTGTAATCAGCATAATTTGAAGGCTGTAAACATGCTATTATTATGTATATTTTCTTTGCATTACTCACTTTTTAAAATGCAAATATTTTACAACGCAACACTTTCAAAGTATGACGTGAACCACTCACAGATGACAGAAGTCATGATGAGGAAAATAATCATGCAGACTGTTCCTAGAAGCACAAAGATGCCAGTTTTTCTGCTACAAGAACGACCTGCAGAAAACACAACAACACACCATGAGAAATAATATCCTTTCTTTTATTTCTTTAAAGCAATACAGCCTTCTTGTTCCTTAAACAGTACTTCATGGCACTAGCAACTCCCAAGGTCATGGGTTAAATTCCCAGAGAACGCAAGAACTGATAAAAATGTCTATCTCGAATGCAATGAGGTCGTGGATAAGGGAATCTGTCAAATGCATAAATGTGAATGTGTTGTGCAATATGATCACGAAAGATTTTACAAAACACTTCACGCCTGCATCCATTCAATTGTTGTAGGATGAACTCCAGAGCTTAAAATTAAATTAGTAGTTTTGCGACGGAATGGTTCTTCGGGGGAACGTGGCAATATTTTTTCCCTCCCATCTCATATTTTTTTCAATCACCATGTTCCCTCAGGGGCTGTGGAAGCTTGTTTCCACCACTGAATAAAAAGTAAAACGAATAAATAGCGATAAATAGCGACTTTTTATCTCGAAATTGTGAGATATAAAGTCGCAATTTTGAGAAATAAAGTCGCAATTACGAGAAAAAAAGACAGAATTGAGACTTTTTTTTATCTTTACATCTCGCAATTCTGACTTTAAAACACAGAGTTTATATCTCGAAATTCTGACTTCTTTTTTTAGAATTGTGAGATATAAAGTCGCAATTGCAAGTTATCAGGCCAATTCTAGGAAAAAATACTAACTTTTTTCCCCTCAGAATAGTTTATATCACACAATTGTGACTTTATAACACGCAATTACAATTTTATATCTCACAATTCTGACTTTATATCTCGCAATTCTGACTTTATATCTCGCAATTCTGACTATATCTCGCAATTTTGACTTTATAAAACGCAATTGCGACTTTATAACACGCAATTGTGAAAAAAAAAGTCAGAATTGTGAGATAAAAAGTCGCAATTACGTTTTTTATTTTTCATTCTGTGGCAGAAACAAGCTTCCATAAGGGGCTCCGTATCTTTGTTCAAACAGTTCGTATTCATTAACAAACATTAGCCTCAATTTTTAGATGAATAGTTAATGTACATTCAAATAATGAATCAAATGCTATAATAATTCTGTTTTGAATAGAATTTGAAGGTTCATTTCTTTAAGCATCATAATGTACGCCATGCCTATATAGCGACACCCTTCAGCCGTGACTTATTCGCAATGCAGCACAGCCTCTCGTACCTTATTGCTTACTTAAAGTGATTATAAAGTGTTTTATAATCAGGCATAAGGTAGTTGTACAACTAACAAAAACACTTTCTCATATACAACACAAACACATCTTTCTGTATCAAATAAAATTTAGTATCATAGCAAACCTTTGCTAAATGTCTTCCGTTCATTTTCCATGTCCATTTTCATGATTTCTTCAGAACTATTAGTTTTCTGATAGACCATCATAACTGCAGCTACTTGCTTCCTAGAGAATCCAAAATGCATTAAAAACAGCTCCCTTATTAATATTCCTTCAATGACAGTAAAAAGGGCATTAGTGTATAATACCACAGCACTTTCCGTTCCTCTTTCCAAAGAATATTGACCTGTAACAAGTTATTCTGCAGAAACAAATCAGCTGAATGACTAATTAAAACTGTTTGCTCAGTGTTTTTCAGCATCATCTGTTTTCACTCAGGTTCACTTTGGGTTCTCTACCTCTTGTTTGAACCTTCACCAGTTACACAGAATTAACAAAATGAACATTTTGGCACAGAATGACCTCTTGCTTTGATTAAAACATAACCACATAATTGTACTAGAAGTGGGAAATTAATGTGGGCACCTGGGCCTGATAACATACAGGGTCGTTTACTCATGAAATGTGCTGAGCAGATAGGACCAATATTTTATATGATGACTTTAGACTGTGGGGCTCACATCCTTAGTAATGACAGGTTTTGATCAATTAGTTAAGCGAGAAATTATTCAAAGGACTCAGAGATCTCTAGATCCTCTTAAATTTGCGTATAGGCTAAACGAGGTGCAGTGGCAACTCATTCAGATAAGCCGAAACATTTGTTAAATAACTTTTTATTGATTTTCCATCTGCTTTCAACACCATTCAGCCACATCTTTTAGTTGAGAAACTCATTAAAGAACTTGGGTTAGATTTTAATCTTGATGGATTTGAAAAACTTCATCACCACTTTGGTCTTCGTCCTGTACTCGTTTGATCATCACACATGCAACAAGTGCCATTGTCCCGAAGCAAAAGCCATGGAAGATTACTGTAAAAATCTCTTAATTTGTGAACTCAAATATCTCTTGAAACCACACAATCGTAAGATTAGCAAGTAATGTGAAGAAAATGAATACACGGTTATAAGATGAAATGGAATAATGAAATGATTATGATTAAAGGATTATAAACGAATAAAGAAAAAATAAACAAATGTTTGGTTGCTATCTTGAAGCAACACACACACACAGGTTGCCATTAAGAATCCTTAGGTCCTTTACATATAAATTTCATTTCGTTGGAGCAGTGGTTGTCATTAATATTTGAAACTCCTGTTATATGTGCACAGTCCTCTCCTCCGCCTTTTTTATGTCCTTGCCAGTCATCCGGCTGCCCAGGTCCCCAGTGTCTGTAACCAAAGCCAAAAAATGCTTATAGAAAATTTATTTTTGTAATGTAATCCCATGTGCATGACCAACAACAACTATTTAACCCTCTGGGGTTGTTCGGCCCAAATGGACCCGAAGAATTTAAATAAAAAATTTTTAATGGTCCGAAATTTGGTGACTTTGTTGGTATTTGGTATTTGAACACCCCCAAAAAATGTGAATAGTCTAAGTGGTTGTAAAAAAAAATAGTCACACTTGGGGTGTTGGGGTCCAAATGGAGCCGCATGGAAAATTAAACATCATTTATAAAACATCAAGAGTGCAAAACAGACACATCCAGACACACACACACAAACACACTTTTATACACAAACACACCAAAAAATTCAGATTATACATGTGTTTTGAATTTTTTTTAAATGCTCAGTTTGTCCACCAGATGGCATCCATCTCATTTCAAAAATTGCTTTTATGAGGTCTAGGCTTGACTCTAAAATGAAATACAGCTTTAAAAAAAAAAAAAAAAATTTCTATTATGTTCAATGGGGGGAAATTTTGTCATAATTATTGCATTAATACTAATTATAAAAAAAATAATAATATTTTTGAATTTTTCTCAAAACACCAAAAAATAAAATAAAAAATATTATAAAAAAAAGAGTAAAAAAAAAAAAAAAAAAAATCATGATTTTTTTTTTTTTTTTAAATATGAATCCCGCCCTTTGGGTCCATTTGGACCCGAACACCCCGAGTGTGACTGAAACGAACAACCCCAGAGGGTTAAATGGCTGAAAGGTTGTTTAACCCTCTGGGGTCTAGGGTGTTTTTGGGGTCATTGAGATGTTTTGACATGTTCTGACATTTGTGCTTTTTTCAGTTACTTATTATAAACATATTAATGGCACAGGTGAAATTACACTATATTTAGCACAAACAGGGCAACCATAATATGTGAGCAACATGTATGTACATGTCTGTATTTTTGAGAGAATTTTGTTTATGCGTGGTTATTGTAGAAGAGCAGGTCAGCGGCGCCATCTGCTTTATTATCCATTTAGCAAATATACCAACAAGCCGACATAGTGATCATGCCCCAATCATGCTAACGGACAGCCAATCAAACCACAGCATTGGTCAGGTGACTGTGTGCAGAACTTTTAGTTTCGTTTCGCTTCATCATTGAGAGATGGTTCATGTGTTGTTTCCTTCCTAATTCCTTCTTGAGTCGTGTGCGTTAATGACTAAAAGTAATTGTTTACTTTATTTTATATATATATATATTGCTGCTGATCAAGACTAGCCAAGAAAGCACACTCTGTTAATTTTATTTATTTTACAGAAACACAAGGTTTTGATATTAATAAGAGTGTACACAAAAAAAGAAGACCCTCTATAGTTTATAATCATGTATTGATTTTATTTATATGACCATTAATGACGGAGTATTTTAAGTCCATGCTGCAGCTATGTGAAAACAAAAACAAAAAAACAACAACACCAAAACGTTATCTTGATTTGATTGCTTCCTATCCTACTTTCGTTTATAAATGGCAATAATTGCGGGGAATAATTGTAAGATATCCTATGGAAGCTGTGGATACATCTGTTTATAAGGGAATGGAAGTAATGGAAAATGAATTTGATATGGAAAACTCTGACTGCATAATTGAACTCACACTTTGTCCATGGTGCAAGGAGTGTCATCCGCCCATCTCCACTGGCCCGTGTTGTGCTCCGTTAGCCCGATCCAGTACTCAAATGGTTTGGCAAAATGGGTAACAAATTCCTAGGCAGAATAAAAGGTATTAACCCTTTCATGCACAGACACCCAGTGGTAATATCTCCCGTATACACAAAATGGTTACATTTATGTACTGTAACAACCCTGTTTTTCCTGCATATGGTTACAGTGAAAACCTCCAAAGTTTTCCTTATAAAATTGTAATATTATAGTTGTAGTTATAGGGATGCTAATAACTAACTGGTTAACCAAGAGCAAGAATTTCGACGGTTAATACGACGATCGGTTAAACGGTTTAAAAAGTAATGCAAGTCATTTTTCAAGACATTTTGAAAACGTTAAACATATAAAATTGAGCTTTTAGAAAACAGTTTGCGTATAAGTTACATTTTATTATAACATTACCAGTAAATAAGGCAATTTTAGTTCCCCTAACGCCATAACAAATCCTTTAAATGTTACAAAATTGAGAACGGAACAACAATGAAAAGGAAAAGTAGCTTCATAAACGTCAAGACAAAACAAAATTTAAAGTGAAAACAGAAACCTGCGTTGGACCAACTTTGCCTTACCTCTCCCATTTGGCACGAGGTTTCCACATTTGCGATGTATTTGGATGCTAAGCTAGAACTTATTATATAAACCAGGCTTTTTACTTCACATGTGTTCCAATATCCACGATAAACATCATCCTTCACGTGCTCAGAAATGTGCGTGGCATAATAACAATAACACCACAGTGGGACAGGTTGTACGTTTTAGGACGGTAAATGTGCAGTGTGTGATAGCGGCATCTAGTGGTGAGGTTGCGAATTGCAACCAACGGAAGTTACGGTGGCCGACAGGAAATGATGTCGTCGTAGCCAGTTCAGCAATGAGGTTTCTTTACAACAATAAATTAAGAAATTAAACTTACTTAATAATTCAGTAAAACGATGTTATTGCGAATAATATTGTCACTTGTTCATGATTGTGTTTTTTTGCAAGATGTAAACAACACTGGTCCAGAAGCACTTCCTGTTTCAGTTTTTTAACACTACATAAAAGCTAGGATAAAATACAACCAACAGAACACATAAAACTGAATCAAAAAGTTAAACAAGCATCTTTAAGATGTTTTCTTTACGTGTGAAATAAAGAAAACAGTTACAAACTAAAACAGGAAGTGTTTCTGGACCAGTGTTGTTTACATCTTGTGAAATGGTCTAGTGACGAAACGCGTTTGTCCGTTTAGGGACTCTTTTCTATAGAAACGAGTCGCATTTCAAGTGTGTGTGTGTGTGTAGAGAAATGCTCATTCTAATGTAATAAAAATATAACAGTTCATTATGTAAGGTCTTTTATGCGCAAATTGTTGTGACGATGTTTGTATCCTCATGTTCTGTTGTTTATGTTGTTATGCACATGCAAAACTAAACCCTCGAAAAACAAATGTTTGTATTTTTAATGGGTCACAGACACTAATCTATTCTATTTTAATTTAATTCTAATTAAAAAAATCTTGTCGGTTAATGGTTAATGAGCTTCACTTGTCGGTTGGGGAAAATTTCCAATAAACATCCCTAGTTGTAGTTTTCTTATATGCATGTATATTAGCATTTTGCACTTTTAACACCGTAAAAATGGAAACATTCCTGCTTTAATAAATTATAATGCAATATGAGCAATAAAATATAGGCTAGGTGGTTCCTCACAGTGACCACTCCGCCTGAAAGGGTCAAGGAAAAGTGTGTTACTGTGTGTGTGTGTTTCTGTTACTCACCCACTCGTCCTTAGTGCCGTTTTCAGTTTTTAAGAGTAGCGCGCCCTGTTCTTCGCAGTAATCCTTTGCTTGTGTCCAGTTCAAGGAGTGACTAGAGAACAGGTAACAGCTGTTTCTGAACTGGATCCACTCAGTTCCAGTACAGCCGGATGTAAGTGCGTCTATGAGAGTAATTTAACACTTTAGTACTCAGACAAACAAAATATCTGTCATCACTTACTCCAGCTCTCTCTGAGACACTCGGTTAGTCAACTCTGATGTTCGATGATATTAATACCGTCCGTCTGAATCAAACACATCCGAGTTTTTTCTCACGAAAAACCACACAGCAAATCACTTACTGTTTTTCATTTCATGCAAATTAATGTAATTTAATCCTGCACAGAATCTGTGATTATTCTATATTAGGCTATTTATACAATATATAACAAAATAACATCATTAAAATAAAAAAAAATTACATACGCACAATATTGCACCTTTTATTCAGAGTTTACTCACTGGTTAGTGATAGTTTATAAGACAAAGCTTGAACAAATGATCTCAGTTCCTCCACTGTATTCTTCACGTCCTTCAGTGAGTTTGAGTCCACTTTAGCCGGAGACAAAAGCCAAACAGAACAATATATCAGCCTGATTACCTCTAACATAAAAGCACAATTCTGAAGAACATGATATTTCATGAATTTTTTTAATTACTTCGATTAAAAATCAGAGATGAAATTAGACTGTGATGGCCCTGGGTTACTTGAAACATAAGATTTTTTACGTCTGAGTCCAACTCGTCCATCAGATCCTTTTGGTGCTCTGTAGGAGAAAGAAATATAAATAAACAGCTTATCTTAAATATGAGGATTATTCAAAGCTGAATGTACATTCAGCACTCACCCAGCTTTTGTTGGCTGTCCTTTTGTACGTTTGCAAGGGAACTCAGTGACGAGCCGAGATCGGTCATCAAGGTCTCAATATTAGACAATTTCTTTTCATTCACTTCTTTTGGAGAGTAGGGGACAAATGATAAGTAAATCAATATTTTTATGCACAATAAACTTAAAGGAGTGGTTCACTTTTAAAAGAACCTTTGCTGATAATTTACTCGCCCCCATGTCATCCAAGAAGTCCACGTCTTTCTTTCTTCAGTCGAAAAGAAATGAAGGTTTTTGATGAAAACATTCCAGGATTTTCTCCATATAATGGACTTCAATGGGGTCCAAACGGTTCAAGGTCCAAATGAGAGTTTCAGTGCAGCTTCAAAGGGCTTTAAACGGCACCAGATGATGAATAAGGGTCTTATCAAGCGAAACGATCGGCCATTTCAAAAATAAAGAGAAAAGTTTAAGTTTTATAAGCAAAAATGCTCACCTTGCTCTGTTCTGTGATGCGCGTTCGTGACTCTCCTGTTTGAACTCGTTCATCAAAATGAACAAATCTTTTTTCGAATCATTTGGTGCATTCAACGAACAAAATGAATGAAATGACTCGAAAAAAGATTTGTTCATTTTGATGAACGAGTTCGAACAGGAGAGTCGAGCAAGGCTAGCATTTGTGCATATAAAACTTAAACTTCTGTATTCATTTTTTAAATGGCCGCTCGTTTCGCTTGATAAGTCCCTTATTCATCGTCTGGTGTCGTTTAAAGCCCTTTGAAGCTGCACTGAAACTCTCATTTGGACCCCATTGAAGTCCATTATATTTAGAAAAAATCCTGTTTTCATCAAAAACCTTAATTTCTTTTCGACTGAAGAAAGAAAGACATGGACATCTTGGATGACACGGGGGTGAGTAAATTATCAGCAAACATTCTTTTTTAAAAGTGAACTACTCCTTTAAATCATGCAAACATTCATTGCATTCATTGCAGATTTGACGCCAAACAGACATTGGTGGTCACATTTTATGTTTAAACTTTGTTCTAAACAGATTACAAAAGATCATGAATTATCATCCTGATACTTCAGTATTTGTTCTATCCATAAATGTCCTAATAAAACATCAGTGTTAAAGTAGACACTAACTGTTGGTCATTGTGTTAGTCGTGTTCAAAGATGAACTCAGACTGGACACCAAGTTCTGCAGCTCAGAAACCTTCTTTTCCAAGTCGCTACCTGTCAGAAACAATTATTAATTAACATTCCATTACCAAAACTGATCTGTGATGATGACGACGACGATGATGATGAAGTTCCCACCTGTGATCTGAAAATCAGATTTGACTGAGCTTATATTAGAAGAATGGCTTCTCATCCAACTCTCCAGCATTGAGAACTTTCTTTCTTGATGCGAAACTTCAAAACAAAATAAACAAACAAACAAATTAAGCCTCTCTGCATTGTATTTTATTCATATGCAAATTCAAATAGTTCATTAAAGCTCAGAGCAAAGCAGTTCAGTTCATATCAAAATTAGCAGTTTAGTACATTTTGATCTTAAACACGTTGCAGTCCATGCCACTGTTTAGTAGCAATAGTCTTTTGTTTAATCCACTCACAGATGACAGAAGTCATGATGAGGAAAAAAATCATGCAAACTGTTCCTAGAAGCACAAGGATGCCAGTTTGTCGGCTCCATGAGCGACCTGCAGAAAACAGACAAAATCCTTGATTCATTTATATTGGTAATATCACGTATACAATGTCGACATGTAATCATTTAATTTTGCAATGCCATGTTTTAATTCTTTTTGCATTTGTCCTCAAATTTTGAAATATAAATGACTGTAGCAAAATGGTGCTGACCCCCAGCCCCGCCAAATTATTACCCCCCTAGCAGGTTTAGGATTAGTTGTGGGGGAGAGAGGGTTGAATTAGGCAATCAGCAGAGCCGTTAAATCTGGGCAATCAGGTACTGATTTCAACGAGGGGGTAATAATTTGGCAGGGGGGCGAAATTAGGCACAACACGGGGAAAAGCAATCACTATTCTAAGTAACATACCGTTAGAAGTTTGTTTCAATCATCATATTACGAGCGGTAAGGAAAAAAAACATGTTTTTCATTTTGTCTTATTTCATTTGCTATTTGGTCTTTCTACTTTCTTTCTGCAACTCTTTAAAAAAAGCAATAAGGTACGATAGGCTGTGCTGTGTCGTGAATAGGTAACGCTTCGCGTCGTGCCTAACAAGTCAACGCCCCCCTTCCGCCGTTACTTATTCACGATACAGCACTTACTTCGTTCGAGTACCTTGTTGCGTTTATAAAACGATTACCACACAATAAAGTAAAAGTATTAGTGCAACTTTCATGAAGTAAAAATCACTAAAAGGCTTCCTTCCGCCAGAAGAAAAGTAGTCCCTGACCGTGAACAGCAAAAACGATCCAATGTGTAATGAAAGCTCAAATAATGCAGTGTTGCAGTGTGTGTGTGTATATATATATATATATATATATATATATATATATATATATATATGCTACACACACATAATTAGCATGAACTTGGTTATTGAAGCTCACTGGTTAAAAGAGATATCCATTATACCAACAACACCTTATGAAACAATCAAAGCATTCTCAATTCCAATTACATTTTAAATATAAAAGTTCCTTTTGAAATAATGATTAAAAAAGTCTAACATTTAAATTAAATGTAATTGCGAAACCTTTTCCATTTCACTAATGCTGTAAAAAGCCTAAATTAATGCTTTATGATTTCTCCTGAATGTGACATTGAAAATCTTCCAAACCTCTCCAAAATGATTTCTTTGGTTCACATTCCATCTCCATTCTAACGTATTCTTCAGAAGAATCCATTTTCTACAAAAAGGAGCAAAAAATGTGAGCAAATTTAACAGTCACTTGCTTCTTATAGTTGAAATTAAAAACACCACCTCCTATATATTAATCATTTATGCAGTCGTGTTCCTTAAAAAAAAAGTCACTTCCACATTCTGAGGAACTGATATTTGGAGAATTCAAGCTGCAAAGATTCTCGTTATTCTTTTACATTTATGAAAACATTTATTTTTGTATTTTTCTGCATGTACATTTTCTTCATGACATGTTCAATGACGCTCATGTCATGTCTACTTTACATCACGCAATTAGTTGATTTGCCAACATGCAATTTAATACGTGCAACATGCAAAAATACAAGACATCCCCCTTTCTCCCCACTCCCAAAAAAAGTGTCCCATTCCATGGATCTAGTTTTTCAATTTTGTCTCATTTAACTTACTATTTGGTCTTTCTACTTGTGTGACTCCATTAATGTCTTAATTCTTTCAGAAGGCTGTGGGGGATTTTCCTTTTTAGCATTTAAAATAGCATTCCTAATAATCAATTTGCTGAATGAGCAGAACACTGCATTTGTGCTGAGCTTGGACTTTCAAACAAGTAAAAATACACTGAATTAGGGAAGCGCGAGTACGAAAAACTTGATCTGTAACTGTTCGAAGGATAATTTAATATCAAGTTGCTGGGCAAATAAAGACAGAATGTACAAATGAACAAAAACAATCAGATGCTATTAAATCCCATAGACTTTAGAGCGAGGGAACCATAATGCTAAAATGCTAACTCACTTCCGCGTTTTGGCCTATGGCGTCGTAACTTCGGCACTCTATTACAATAATTATTTATTTAATCACAAAATTCAGGACATCATTCAGATCCTTTCTACTGCATGACAGGAAGACACTTTATTTTATTTATGATTATTATAAGTATTTTATATACAGTTTATCAATGTGAATTTGTTAACTGTTGAACATTAAAGTGAACAGGGTTAATTTGGTATGAGATATTAATTTAGTCATATTAGTAACTACATGCACCACAACATTGATAAACACATCATTAATGTGATTTGTAATTTACACAAACAAAGACAAACAAATTGAGAATAATGCTCACTTCACACACAAAAACTCAATACACTCAAAACAGCTATTTTTAGTCCAAATTTCCCTTTTTACATATAAACTGCAATTTGGATGAGCAGTGGATATCATTAAAGAACCCATCAAATCCAAACTGCACACAGTCCTCTCCTTCCTCTCCTTTGTCTCCCAAGTTGTGTTCAGTCCACTCATCTGGCTGCCCAATTCTCCATTGTCTGAAAATATAACCTAAAGTGTGTTACTAGGGTTGTCAAAAGTACAGTTACTTTGGTACCAAATCAGTATTGAAAATGAAAAAATGTGACGATACCAGCATTTCTGCCAATCACAGACATCTCTGTTGAGCGTGTGAACGCAATGTCCAATCAGAAAGTGTTTAAGTCTACAGTCAATTTTTGGGATTGACAACCGCATTTACTTCGAGGTGTCCCGTTCACACAGAAACTTACAGCAGCACCTCGAATACTGCGTGTATGAACGTGCAACGAGAGTCAAGCCCGTATTCTCTTACCAGTAAGTAATATCAAAGACGGACACATCCATAAAACTTCACACAATGCAATATAAATCTATGGTGTCGCCCATTTATTATAGCTTGTCATATTTCAAAGACGTCACCTTGGGGTTCTAAGCATGCGTCAAAACCGCCGCCATCTTGGAACAGGGGTCTTGTCATAGGAAGTAGCTAGGTAACGCTGACATCTCTGCCTTTACTTCAAATTCATTGATGGTGGCGGACTTTTGTGCAGCGTATGATGTTCACGGATGAAATCTGAACTAGGAAGAATGTTGTTGTTTTTTTAAAATGAATTTTTTTTCTTTCTTTCTGGAATCAATGATAAACACATCTGACCGTTGGAACAAACCAAAAAAAAAAAAAAAAAAAGAGAAAAATCACATTCATGATGATTTATGGTGATTTTATTTCCGTTAGACCTGTGTCTACATTGACTCTGATGCGTTAAAGTGGAGGGGCTCCCCTGTTCCAAGATGGCGGCTCTATTGACGCATTCGTTCCAATGAACTGCCGTAGCCAAGGTGACGTCTAGTGTATATGTCTATGGTCATATTTGCCCCTTTTTGGGTGTTAGCAAAAACCCTTTAAATGCAAATGAGCTGCTGCTCTTTAGGCCCCATCCACACTACTGCGTTTTCGTTTAAAAACGAATACGATCTCCGTCCACACCAGCGTTTTATCTGCGTATTAGAAATGATCTCCGTCCACATTAAAACGACTGAAAACGAGGATCACGTGACCATTCACCAACACTGGGCATGCACGTGCCAGTGAAAACGGTGGCTGACGAATCAGGGAAGGACACGTCATGACTGATAACACCCAATCATAGAGCGTCAGCCCCTGCGTCAGCGTTTATGAAGTCGTACGTTTTGTCTCGTCCACACTAAAAGGCCCTCCGGAGATTCAAAACGCAAAACGGAGCTGCGGCGTTTCTAAACATCTCCATTTTACGTCTTCGTTTTTCCCGTTTTAATCTGGACGGGAGGTGCAAACGTAGCAAAAGGTCTCCGTTTTTTAAACGAAAACGCAGTAGTGTGGACGGGGCCTTAGAGAAGAGGCCGATCCTTTACACAATAACAAAACACGCAAATAATCTCACTCCAAATCCAGAATCTCAGAAAGTGCAGCCTGAAAAGTAATGATCATGCATGAAACATTTGAATTGTTTATTAATAAACTAGTGTTTTCTATGTCAGTGGCTGCAAAGACGAAGTTGTCGATGCAGACTCGCCATCTTCGCACACTTCATATGAATTAGCCTACATAAGCAGAGAGTAGCCAATTTATTTTTTTCAATTGTTTTGTTTAAAAGTAGACATTTCAAGCTTTCTATAGATATAAGTGGCTTATACGATGAGACGCTCCGGTTCTCCGTGTCCTGATATTGTCTACTATATTTGCTTCTTATTTATTAATCCAGGCAAATTTGTTGATGAAACATTGATTAAAAAGAAGATAACAGTAACTTTCTCTAAAAAATAAGCCGATCAGATTTCGCTGGGATTCTGAAGAAATAAGGGAATATTAATCTTAATCTGCACGTTTCCGCCAACAGTGCTCTTAAAGGTATAGCGGAGGATTTTCTTTTTCCAGGTGGGTAGTCTATACTATTGGTCGATCTAAGTGTCAATCATTCTGGTGATGGCCGTCGTACGTGCTCGTCCCTATGTAGTTTTCACTTTCAGGTGTATTATGTCGGAGTTGCGGTTTCAGCCATTCCTTTGAAAATGGCTGAGGGTCGAAAGAGAGAAAAAATGTATACGAAGTGTATGATAAGAAGAGAAAGGTCGCAGAATATAAAAACAAGACCAGAGTGATTTTGGGTGAATATCACACGCTGGCGTGCGCTAAAAGCACAGGTTGGGCTTCTCACTGATGCCGCAGTCGCGAAGATTCTACTAGACAGGTAAAGTTTGTCACGCTATTTGGAGAAATCCATTTAAAATCACTAGTAAAAGTTAATGCAAGCTACTTAGCAATGCTAGCCCTGGCACAAGTCATGGACACGGTAAACATCTCAATTTGTCTAAAGTAGCCTTTTGACCAAAATGGTAAATGGTATCACGCTGAAATATTCTAAAACCTTGTGTGTTTATTATTACACAAATGCAACAAGCTACTTCTCCATACGCAACTATGTATAAAAATAACTTATTAATACGTATTAACAATGAGACATATTAGGTTAAGGAACGTAATAGCACTGCTTGTATGTTGCTATGTAACGTAATTGCGATTTGCAAAATAGTTTCCTCAGATCGTATTTTGTGTGATACAGGGTTGGACATATCATGTCTTGAGTCCTCGGTCACTCAATCGATCAGTATAATAAGTAAATAAAACACGGAAGGGCATTTGACATGTTGTCTTTTTTATGAATATTTTTGAGTTAGTTTACAATTTGCAACATAATTGTGCAAGGCGTAATAGTAGGCGTTCCCTCTCGGGAGTGTTGTGTTTTTGCATGTGCATTTTTTTTAATTTTTTTTTTAAATTGGAGAGGGCGGGTCTTCTCTAAAATTCGGAAAGATCCTCCGCTATACCTTTAATTTAACTTTAAAATGTACAAAACGTGGAAAAAACTGTATTGTGCTTTCGACTGTAGTTCATTTGATGGATACTTTACCAAAGCAATGGCACAAAACACATTAGAGGACTTTTATGTTATAATGAGAACCGAATATCCTCTTCTCTATATATTCAACTCACGCTTTATTCATGACGTAAGGAGTGTCATCCGCCCATCTCCATATTCCGGTGTTCTGGTCTGTTAGACCGACCCAGTAGTCTTGTGGTTTGGCAAAGTTGGTAAGAAATTTCTAGGAAGGAGAATAAAAGTGAATCACTGAAAGACAGAATGGAAAAGAGTTTTTGATTATGTGTGTTACGCACCCACTCCTTCTCAGAGCCGTCTTCTGTTTTTAAGAGTAAAGCGCCCTGCTCTTCGCAGTAATCTTTTGCTTGGGTCCAGTTCATTGTGTCTCTAGAGAACAGGTAACAGCTGTTGTTGAATGGTATCCACTCAATTTCAAAACAGCCTGGAGGAAATAAGTCTATGAGAGAGAGAGAGAGAGAAGAGAAAACATAATGTAGTACAGAAGACAATTTTCACATTTAATTAAAAAAAATGTTTTACTTTGAAGTTTATGAAATGATTTATAATTATTGAAATTGATATAATTTTCATTTAGGTAAACTACCACCATAAACAATATTTGGGCAGGACTAGTTTTCTCTGTGAGGTGGTTTCATAAATTCTTATTTAACTGTATGGATGTTGTATGATTTGAATACAGTATTGAGTATTTCAATACTTTTTTTTACACACCCCAAGTAAAAATTACAGAGCAAACAGCAGTTTTTTGTCTCATGCAGATTAAATAAATGTAATCATCCTACCCAGATAATACTAAATATTACCCCCCCCCCCACCCCACAATGCTTATTCTCATTTACTTTAACCGTCTTTAAATACCATAATTAAAGCTATAATTTTTGTTGTGCTGCCTGATCCCCCATCATAATTAACTTTATTGGTAAAATGACCTGCTATGCTGCATAACAGCAGAAGCTGCATATATTTGAGCACATTATTACATCTTGAATTCAGAGTTTACTCACAGGTAAATGATAGTTTATAAGAAAGAGTTCGAATAGATGATTTCAGTTCCTCCAGGTCTGAACTCGACGTGCCAACTGTTGAATACAAAAGTCAGAAAAATACAACATATCAGCACGATTTCTTCTAATACAGTTCTTAAGTCTGTAGAACATCATATTTAACATTTTTTTTAATGAAATATGTATTATTTAATTATTTTAATTAGTATTTGTATTTATTTTAATTAATATAATTGTAGGTCTTACAACTCGAGATGCGTGGACGAAACCGTTGAGATGAAATCCAATGGCTCACTGACGTTACAGGAGGAAAAAAAATAGAGAAAGTTTTATCATGGGCCAAGAAATATACACCTTCAACCCCTTGATATGCTGTTTTAAATTTGAGGATTCAAAGCTGAATGAACGTCTAGCACTCACTCAGTGTTTGTAGTAGATCCTCTTTAGATGCGAGAGATCTCTGTGACGAGCCGAGATCAGTGATCAAGCTCTCGATATTAGACAACTTCTTTGCATGCATTTCTTATGGACAGAGTGAGAGGGACAAATAATAAGTAAATGATCAATGCACTGATAATCTATTAGAGTATTTGCAGTGTCACATAGCCAGCGTCAGTCAGAAACTTGAAGCGTGCAAAAATGGAAGATTCCAGAACAGACGGGTAACGAAACATTTCCATGGAGGACATTTGAAGAGTGTTATGTTGCAACTTTGTTTATGATTAATTTGTTATCGAAATGTTACCATCCTTGTGCTTCAGTGTAAAGCACTTTGTGAATCAATTAAACTGCCTTGCAATCTCTCAATGTTAAAGTATATACCCGAATATTTTGGGGCGCCGTTTGTAAAGCGGCTGACTCTGAAAATAACAGCAACATTTTGTCACATTTAGCTCCAAACTATGTTTAAAAAACTGGTATGAATTTTTGACGGTCACTTTTTTTTAGCACATTTACATCTATCTTTGTCAACTTAGAGATATTTGAAATAGTTCAATCTAAATATTAAATGTTACCCTTAAATGTTAAATCTAAATGTTGAATCTAAATCTAAATATTAAATCTAAATATAAATGTTAAATCTAAATGTTAAATATAAATGTAAATGCTAAATATAAATGTTAAATCTAAATCTAAATGTTACATGCTAAATCTAAATATTAAATCTAAATGTTAAATCTAAATGTTAAATATAAATGTTAAATCTAAATCTAAATATTAAATCTAAATGTAAATGTTAAATCTAAATGTTAAATCTAAATATAAATGTTAAATATGAATGTTAAATATAAATCTAAATGTTGAATCTAAATGTTTCGGGTTAAACTAAATGTTTAGCTAATATGCAAATTGAAAATGCTGGTAATCGGAAGTGCCAAAATAAAAGCTCGAGGAGGTCAGTGTTTAATGTCAAATAACGAATAAAAACCATCTCATCTGTGGAAATGGACTCTTGGACATGGATTATCGTGATAATAACTACCTAAAATAATAATTCGTTTGACATTTTAGCCGAGCAGAAAGCAGCTCTGCTGGCCTTTTTGCAAGCGACCGTGACAGATCAGTCAAAGAGAGCCCCCACCTTTCATAAAAGTGACACTAACCTCAAAGTAGCCTACTCTCCAAATACAGTTTCTCCAAACGAGTTTATTATTTTAGGTAGTTATTATCGCAATAATCGATGTCCAAGAGTGCATTTCCCCGCATGAGATGGTTTTTATACTGACCTCATCGAGCTTTTATTTTGGCACTTCCGGTTACCAGCATTTTCAATTTGCATATTAGCTAAATATTTAGATTCAATATTTAGATTTAACATATATATTTAACATTTATATTTAGATTTAACATTTAGATTTAGATTTAATATTAAGATTTATATTTAACATTTATATTTAGATTTAACATTTAAATTTGGATTTAATAGCCTATTTAGATTTAACATTTAAAATTTAAGGGTAACATTTAATATTTAGATTTAACTATTTCAAATATCTCTAAGTTGACAAATATAGATGTAAATGTGCTAAAAAGTGCCCGTCAAAAATTCATACCAGTTTTTTAAACATAGTTTGAAGCTAAATGTGACAAAACGTTGCTGTTATTTTCAGAGTCAGCCGCTTTACAAACGGCGCCCCATATATATAAGACACTAACCGTTGGTCATTGTGTTACTCGCTCCAGACATGTTCAAAGATGAACTCAGACTGGACACTAAGTTCTGCAGCTCAGAAACCTTCTTTTCCAAGTCACTACCTGTCAGAAACAATTATTAATTAACATTCCATTACCAAAACTAATCTTTGATGATGATAATGATGAAGTTCCCACCTGTGATCTGAAAATCAGATTTGACTGAGCTTATATTAGAAGAATGGCCGCTCATCCAACTCTCCAGCATCGAGAACTTTCTTTCTTGATGCGAAACTTCAAAACAAAATAAACAGAGAAACTTATTTTTAAATATTCATATGCTCATTCAAATATTAAAGCTCAGTTCAGTGATAAGAGTAAAGTTCATAACCAGTTCATGTTCACATTATTTGTCACTTATCCATTACACTGCCAAATTAAAGCAGAAGCAATACAATATTTAGTTGAATCCACTCACAGATGACAGAAGTCATTATGAGGAAAATAATCATGCAAACTGTTCCTAGAAGCACAAGGATGCCAGTTTGTCGGCTCCATGAGCGACCTGCAGAAAACAGACAAAATCCTTGATTCATTTAGCCTATATTGGTAATATCACATATACAATAAAATGTATAGCTAGGCTAATAATTTAATTTTGCAATGCCACACATTTTGAGATATCATTCATGACTGTAGCAAAATGATGCTGGAACAACTGCCATATAGTTTACTTGGAAGTATGAGCAGTGCAAAATATTTCTAACCATAATTAGCATGAACATGATTAATTGTTGAAACTCACTGGTTAAAAATTAAAAATCTGATGATACCTGAGGAAGAAACATTCAACATTCACGTTTCCAATTACATTTCAAATATAAAAGTTGCTTTTGAAATAATGATTACAAAAAGTCTGTCAATGTCAAGACATGGAAAATGTTTAGCAATTACATTTATTTCAATTTCACTCCTGCTTTAAAAATGAGTTTAATGATTTATCTCCAACTGAACGTGATATTGTAAATCTTCCAAACCTCTCCGAAATGATTTCTTTGGTTCACATTCCATCTCCATTCTAATGTATTCTTCAGAATAATCCATTTTCTACAAACAGTGACCCTAAAATGTGAGCAAATTTAACAAGTCACTTACTTATAGTAGCTACACCCCCCAAAAAAAAAAAGTCACTTCCACATTCTGAGGAACGGATATTTAGGAAAATCAGTTCGGGAAGATTTATTCTGTTTTTTGGATGTACATTTTCTTCATGAAAGGTTGAATGACGTTTATGTCAAGTCTACTTTACATCATGCAATTTATTGGCAATTTTTAAATAATAGACTGTAGTTTTACAAGACTTTCCCCTCTCTCCACCCCCTTAAAGGGTTAGTTCACCCAAAAATGAAAATTCTGTCAGTATTTACTCACCTTCATGTTGTTCCAAACCTCTATGTGTTTATTTGTTCTGCTGAACACAAAGGAAGATATTTGGAAGAATGTTTTAATCAAACAGATCTCATTCCCCATTGACTACCATAGTAGGAAAAATACTATGGTAGTCAATGGGGATTGAGATCTGTTTGATTAAAACATTCTTCCAAATATCTTCCTTTGTGTTCAGCAGAACAAATAAACACATAGAGGTTTGGAACAACATGAAGGTGAGTAAATACTGACAGAATTTTCATGTTTGGGTGAACTAACCCTAGGTTTCATTTACCTTGCTATTTGGTCTTTTTACTGTGACTCTATAAACGTCTTAATTCTTTCCGAAGGCTGTGGGGAATTTTCCTTTTTAGCATTTAAAATAGCATTCCTAATAATCAATTTGCGTAATGAGCAAAACACTGCATTTGTGCTGAGCTTGGACTTTCAAACAAGTAAAAATACACTGAATTAGGCAAGCGCGAGTATGAAAAACTTGATCTGTAACTGTTTGAAGGATAATTTAATATCAAGTTGCTGGGCAAATAAAGACAGAATGTACAAATAAACAAAAACAATCATAACGTTTGAGTCTGCCCTTAATAATCCTGTATCCTTTTTAATACAGACACATCATTTAAGTGTACCGATGAGTGGCTATCCGCTTAATGCATCTAATATTGTGAGAAGTATGATTTCTTTCAAAGTTTAAGGAATTATGTAAAGTTAAACGGCACATTTGTGGGTATTTTACCTCATTCCTAGAGTTAGAAAAAACTGCAAGTGTACAGGGCCATGAAATAAACAAATCAAATACACAACTAAAAATATACCCATTACACATGCTCTCAGGAGAGAGTGACACTAAATTGTTTAATGACCTTCGTTGAACATCGAGTCGTTCGACATCCATGTTATGACCATGAAACACTGTGGAAAATACTTTCATAATGCATGCAATACAAATGTGTGAACCAGAAATGAGTCTCACCTTAAAAAAAGACTATTAAAATTTTACAGATAAAATAAACTTGCTTTTTAAATTCACAAAAAAATACAAGCTTCCCATTTTTTTTTCTTGCAGCATTTTCTTGAATTGTTTGTAAAATAATTTGATATTAAATGCGAATTATACACGATTAAATTACAATAAATTTGCATTAAAAATAGGGCTGTGCAAAAGTTAATTGCGATTAATCGCATCCAAAATAAAAGTCTGTGTTTACATAATATATTTGTGTGTGCTGTATATAACTATTTTGCATACATAAATACCTATGCATGCATGTACATATTTAAGAATTATTTGTGCGTAAATTCTGTATATATTTATAAATACATAATCTATATTCTATAAATATAAATATTTGATATATGAATAACACATTTTCTTAAATATATACATGCATGTGTGTGTATTTATATATATAAAATAATTATATACAGCACACACAAATATATTATGTAAACACAGACTTTTATTTTGGATACGATTAATCGCAATTAATTTTTGCACAGCCCTAATTAAAAACCAATACAGTACACAAAAGAATCCAAACCAAAGTTTTATTGGAAGAGAAGGCCACAAGCACAAGCTCATTCTACAACACTGAGTACGTAAAGGACGTGCGTTCATTTCAGGTGGAGCGCTTCTGTAATTCATGCGAGTGAACAGAAAGAGTCTTCTGCTTCTGGAATAAATGCAAAAACGAGAAAATACGCTGAGACAGACGACTGTAAAAAAAAAAAAGATTAAAATGGAGAGAATAAAACTGGAGCTCTAAAAGAAGTCCACATCATCCGGAGCATCTAAATCACGATATTCGATGATATTGCGAGGATCCCCGCGCATCATTCTGGAAAAGACGGACGAAAAGGACATTTTATTAAAGCTCATCTATTATTCAAGATCTCCATTCAAAGAAATCAAAACTGAAATACACAACTCACCGATTGTTTCTAGGTTTCCCGGGGTACCCGCCTTGCCCGCGGAAGTTGTCGTAGTTGCCCCTGCCGCCGCCACCGCCCCCATACTGGTTCGGTGGGTAAGGAGGACCGCCTGTTAAAGGTTGGAGAAACACCTCAATATGGCAAAATTCAACATTGAAAAAGTGACGGTCAGGGTTTAGATTGAAAAAAAAACTGAAATGGCCTGTTAAATGCACAGTAGCCATCAGAGGATGGGGACATGGTGGCCATAAAGGGATGGACATGGTCAGAAACAATGCTCAGGTAGGGCGTGGCATTTAAACGATGCCCAATTGGCACTAAAGTGTGCCAAGAAAACATCCCCTACACCATTACACCACCACCAGCCTGCACAGTGGGAACAAGGCATGATATTCTCATTCTGTTAACGCCAAATTGTGTGCTTGGGACATGGATTTAATGGTGAGACTTGTTTTTGCAATCAGGCTGACAAATTATATAAAAAAATTGGATTTAGATTTATCGACAAATATATTGGATAGCTTCTTTCACATTTAATAAATCATCATATCAGTGCATCTCTAGTAAATTCTGTACAGAGAACCTGAGCGATACTTTCAGAAAGAAAAGCTATATGTACCATAATTGAGCAGAGATGAAAAACTGATTTGCAATTACATCATGACGTCAAATGACCCTTACTAACAACCATTCTCACTCTAGCTATACTTCTTTAATACACACACACACACCTCCATAACCCATAACTGGAGGTCTGGGCTGAAAGCCCATGAGACCTTGAGGAGCCTGAGGCGGGAACGGAAGACCTCCGGGTGAAAGCACTCCTAAAGAGGGAAAGAAAATTACTTCTGATAGCACACTTTATTTCACTACCAACTGATAAAAAATGAAAAATTGGAGCAGAAACTTTAATTACTAGTAAAATTGACCCGCATAACAAAAAAACAAACAAAAAACAGAAACAGCAGGTAACCTTTAAATTAAATGTGAAATAGTATTTTCTTGTAAAAGGTATTTTTTGCTGTACCTTGTCCTGGACCTGGAGGAGGTGGCGGCTTCATCTCTGGGATGGAGGGTCTTTTCGCATCCATCAGGAAGTTGTTGAAAAACACCACCTCTTTCTTTACCTCCTCAATCTTGTCACCGTGTTTGTTTAGGATGTGCTTCTTCACAAACTCTGGGCCCTTGAGAGAGATCGAGCTTTTATTTTCTCCTCACGGCTACCAGATGAACTACTAAATGAACAAAAGGATCACGTTTGTTTAAAATCACACACCTTAAACTTTTTGCCACTTAGAGGACAAAGCCACTTGTCTTTGCCCAGTTCCTGTGTGTTGGCCGACACAAACTTCTCAACTTCCTGTTCTGGATCTTTGCGGCCCATCTTCGCCGCCTCATCTTCAGACAAGCTTTCCTTCACGCTGAACAAGTGTCCCAGCTTATCTTCAAACGTCTTCTGCCAGTCAGACACTACAAGATGGTCGAGAAAGCAGTGAGATTTTATTCAGTTACATTTCTTTGCATCAACAAACAGCTAATCCGGTCCTAAACGTTTGGGAATTGGTTGCGTCAGAAGTTATTGCATCAAACAAACAACTAATTCCCGAAAGTTTAGGACATGATTAGCCGAGTCAGAAGTTGCTTAACCCTCAGACGGTCTTCTTTCGGAGTCACGCCCTGAGCCTTCTCGGTCAGAAGTGACCGGACACCTAAAAATGAAATTTCCTCCATCCTAGTAAAAACAATGCAATTTATTTTTGTTCTATAATATTTATTCTTTGTAATTTAGTATTTTGAGACAATTTGATTGAATTTATTAATATTTATGGTGTATTTTTGCCATGGAAAAATAAATATATCTTTATATATATATATATATATATATATATATATATTTTTTTTTAAAATTATTACTGCAGTATTTTAGTTTAATATATAGTCTAGGCCTTCAGAAAAAAAAAATTGTGAAGAAAATTAGCACCATCTGTTAACAGTATAGAGAAAAAGCGTAGAATCATAATGTAACCACTAGATGCTATGAATAGCTCTCTATGGAGAAGCATGTGAATTCCCCAGATGTTTATGAACATTTTTTTTTTTGGTGGATTTGAATATATAATTGAAACGATCTCAAAAACGATTTCTTATAAAAAATTTTAAAAAAAAGTTAAAAAAAAAAAAAATAATAATAAAAATTTGTGAATTTGTGTGTCAATTTCCCATTCATTTCCTATGGGGGTCATTTTTGACCAAAGAGCACAAGTGTGACTATTTTTTTTTAAGACCACTTAGCATGCTCGGATCATGACCTCATTTTTTTTGTGTGTTCACATACATAATGCCATAAATGTCACAAAGTTTCGTAACATTCAGATGAAGCTGTGATTTTTAAAAATTCAAAACAGAAAATTTTCCAGTCATAAATGACCAAAGACCGTCTGAGGGTAAATTCTTTTTAATGTCAAGAACATCATGTGCTTTATCTTATCATTCATGCAGGTCAACAAACATGTGTGTAACAATATATCGCAATACAAAAATGCGATATGTACCGTGTATAGTGGCATATGTATATTTAACCCACAATATATTACTGTGCGAGAAAAAAAAAGTAAGTTTAATTTTAGTGTGAACACTATATTAAACATTATATATAGTAGTTTAATGTAATGGGGAATATTTGTGGGTTCTGATAATGCCAAATGTCTGATGTTACCAGTAAAAAGTGGCCAACATAATTTAAATATACTGTATCTAGTCA